TGTGTATTTTGTAATTTTTTTGAAAAAGCCTGGCTAACTATTTCTCCCCTTTTCCTAATATATATATGCTAATCTAAGTGTCTGATGGCTGCAGCCTGTGTCAGTGTGAGCGGTCTGACTGGTTGGACTGCTTCTAATGATTATGATCTCATTCTTCACCTTGAACACACTCCAGCACTGCCTGTACAGGTGAGACTAACTCACTGCAAACGTCCTGTCTGACTGGGAGATAAATAAAGGGTTTTTTAAATAACAAAATTGCATTAAATATGCTTGTAAAGTCTATTTTATTAATGCCCTGTTTATAAGATGGAGCTTATCATTTGAAATGAAATGTCATTATTTTTAAAGAGGTGGATGGTGAATAATGTTTTACAACAACAGCGTCTCGCCTCAATGGTGACGTACCTTCACCTGTTAGCGACACAGTAATTAAGTTAAAAAAATAGTAACTAATTCATATGACCACTTTTTGTATTAGATTCTAATTTAATCTGGCATTATTTAATGATAACATAGTAAGGAATCAAAATATCCTAACCTTTCAAAACTGTCAACCAATGGTGACGTACCTTCACCTGTTAGCGACACAATGCTTGAATAGCACGTTCTCTAATAGGGAGTTGGCTCAAGGACTAAGAGGTTAAAATAAGGGCAGTGTCTGCAAGATTCAAGACAACCTGTCTGCACTGAGTAAACTAAAATATGCTATGAGGCAGTGAACAAATGTGCAATCTCATAGTACGTCCCAACACATAGATATCTGTCTAAGAATACCTCAGTTGTACTGTGTGAATGAGGTCAAAGGCCAGGTTATATTTCAATGTGTGTTCATTGAATTATAGTGGAAGTAGTGTTTCATATGAAGGGCCGTACAGGCCGTAATTCATACTGGTCCTCTTTCACACATACATTCTCCTTTTACATACGTTCATACATTTTCATTTTCATACACATATATTTCAACGCACACATATATACATTTAGCTCTCATATTCATATATTTTAACGCTCATATTTATATATATATATATTTATACATTTTGCTCTTATGTACATTCATTCAATGTTTACATTTAATATTATAAACATGCACGTATGCATGTCTGAAGACAATATGCAAGAGAAGAATGTATGCATGTGTGAGAGAAAGTATAGTTGAAACGGAAACATTATCGTGCTTTGATTGGCTCAGAAGGTCGAGCAGGGCGGGCTCATGTTCAGAATTTCAGATTCAAATCAACATGATGGAGGGAGATGAATCTGTGTATCTTCGGACCATTTGTTTTTATTTATTAAAAAAGTAAACGGAAGAGCGTCTGCGAGGCATTTTTGCTTTTTGTTTTTCATAAATATATAGAACCATTTCTTCAAATGATATATATTTTACATTTTAAATAAAAATAATTTAAATAATAAACAAAATGAAACATTCAAATAATAATAAGTTATTTTTAATTCCTGAGGTCCAATTCTAACGCATGTTTAAAGTCATCTCAAATAATGAGAGTGTTTATGAATGTACTGTTTGTGTTTCATCATCTCCTCTGACTCTCTACTGACACCAACAGGCTGAACGTGGTACTGCGTAGAGCAACAATTAAAAACAGGAGACTGTCAGTGTTTTGATTTTACTTTAAAAAAAAATGTACATTACAATTTAAGAAGAGCAATCATTTCATTTAAAAAACGTACACCTATGTATACAACGACACCAGTTTATAAAACCATTGTATCTGAAAGACAGCAGCCGACAGAAAGGTTCACAACGTTCACGTAAACGAGACGAAAGCAGAACCCGAGAAACCACAAAATAAACCGGGGAAGAATTTAATCAAAGTTTAGACAATCAAACCTTTTTTTTTTTATTAAAGGAATTCCATTTGGCAAAGAAAGAGCTTAACTGGACCAATAAAAATACCTATTGAAACTGAGTATTTATTAGAAAACAAACTGATAAATAATGTTACTAAGTCTGAGTTTTGAGCCCAACTTAGAAACAAATATTGGTGTTCAGTAATTATACTTGTAATTATTTTAAAGAGGAAATCCCTACTTATTCTGCAGTTTGTTTTTCTGTCAAATGTGCAACTTTTTCATTGAAATAAAGGGAATTTAACGTCAAATAAAATGATTAAACGCTGGATTAAAAGCTTTCAGACTGAAAATACAAATACAGAGATGATTTAAACATAGCTGAATTAGCTGGGTAACAGACACTTAATCAAGCTGCAAAAAATATAATTTAAGAAGCCTTACTAGTGTTAGAGTAAAAATAAACATGGGCTGCATGTTGATGGGTATAAGAATGTTGTCAAAATAAACTAGGAAATTGAGCTTTGTACAAAGTCAAAAAAGAAAAGCTGAACTACGACATTGTGTTTTAACTTGTTTAGCTTTAGCCAATTAGCTCGGACTGGAGAAGCTAAAGTTAATCAGATCAGAAAAAACCTTGAATATTTATAGATATGTTAATATTAATATGTTTTAGCTTCTTTTGAACATCCTAGCTATAGTAAAATATAACTTGACTGTGATTTAAAAAAGGTTTTAGGTCAGTTCCAGTTGTTTAGCTTTAGCCGATTAGCTAGTGTTAAAGAGGCTAAAGCTAACAATCCCCTTATTGTTTACATTACAACATACATTTATTTAAGCCTCTTAATTTATCTCTCAGCTAAAGTAAAATATATATTAACTGTGATAAAAAAGAAAAGCGGCCCAGGTCAACATTTCAATCGGTTAGCTTGTCGATTAGCATCAAGCTAGGAGATGAAGTTCAAAGAAATGGACAGAAATGTTATATTTAAAAAAAATAAAAGCCCCCCTGCGGTCGATGTTGTGGTTTCATTAAGTCTTTCAGCACATTCATATAGAAACAAACAGTGTCCGCCACCACATTAAAAACCCAACATACTATAATACAAACTGGCTGTAAGGCTTAGTACAACACAGAGTTACATAACGTTATAAATCCCTGAAGATATGATGTAAAGTGGTTCAAACACGGAGAGTAAAAACATTTCTCATTAATACCAGAACATGTAATATGTTCATATTTCAGCACTAACACATTGTGAAGATGTTCAAGTATAATATTCATCATGTAGTGTAAAGACACTAAAGGAAATAAGTCCGATTTTAGGGTTTTAAACGGCTCATTAGAAGAAAAAGGTGATTTTCATAACTCAAAGCGGGTCAAAATGTTATTTTTTGTACCAAGTACTGAACTGTAACGACCAAATAACAAGAAATATTTAAAGCCAACTTTTATGGATTATATATAAACCATTTAAAGTGCAAACATTTCAGAAATAATGCTGTTTTTAGTCTCAAAGATGGTGATTTCCTACTATCCTTTGCTTTTTGAATCATACTAAAGGGAATATTTATGTTTAAAGTTAAGTTTGAGATCTTTAACTCAAAGAGGGACATAAAGTCCTTTTTCGTACCATGATTTATTGCATCAATGGCTAGTAATCATTTTCTGATAATACATTAATCATTTTAAGAAACTTTTCATGCAAACATTTCAGAAATAATTTGTTTCTAAATTTCAAATTTGCCAATTTCCTTCTATTCTTTACATTTTATCGTCTTAAGTGAATATTTATTTTAAAAGTTACATTTTTGAGAGATTCTTTACTCAAAATTGGTCATAAGTACCAGTAACTCTTTTTTTTTACCGTCAAAAGTCATTCATTACCAAGAAAATCCATATATAATTCAAACGATTTTTTAAAAACTATTACAAATTATTGTGCAGCATTCATTTTGATTTACATTAGAAATGTCAACATAATGGATGTAGATTCAAAATGTTGGGTTCAGCCCAGAAGGCGCGTTCACACCGCAGTACTTTTCCCACTTTAGTTCCGATATAGTTCCGAAATGTTGCGTTGACACCAAAAAGAGCCGGAACTAAAATTAGTTCTAGAGAACCTTTTTACCCCCTTTTCAGTCCCTGCTAGAGAGCAGGTACTTTCGTGGGAGAAAAAGGTTCCTATTTCTGATTGGCTGGGCGGATTGCAAACCACGCCCCGTAAAACTCCCAAAAAGTTTTGTGAAGCCGCCATTTTATTATCCTCGCATTAGCATTATTAGCATTAGCCCAGCGCAGAAACGCAGAGAGACTAACTTATGGCAATACAAAATAAAACATGGGAGCGGTGGAGATGAGGAGGTGTCGGCGTTCTGGCGATTTACTCGGAAGGCTTCAGTAGAAGCTGCTGGGACTCTCAGCAGCTTCTACTGAAGCCTTCCCCAACTCCGGGGACTTCCGGCCGGGGACTTTGGGCGGCAGTATACGCCGTGAAGTTGTTTGCGGCCTGCCAGTAAGCCCAAAGCAGAAGAAGAACAAGTGACGGGCCTGCCAGTAAACCCAAAGCAGAAGAAGAAGAAGTGACGTCAGCGGCTTCATTTGCCTAATCCTCCCCCAGGGACTTTTTCCAGTGTGAACGCGATCTGTACTTAGTTCATGAGAACTAAAGAGTTCACATGAACTAAGTTCACATGAACCTTTGTGGGAAAAGTACCGCAGTGTGAATGTGCTGTATCTATGGTACAGCCGTATTAAACGCGGTGATTAAGACATGACTGTTTGAAGGAAATGTAATTCATATTTAATTTATCAAGGGAGAACTCGCCTCGATATCCTTACGCCTTCTGGACAATATTTATTAATATGCAGGACATTATTCCAGAGATAAATACCGGACATATTTGAGGATTTATCAATTAATTAGCACTAAAAATGTACCTTATTGTTTCCTGTTTTGTGGGAACTTGTTTAAGAAGTCATTGGTGACAAAAAAAACTGCGATTTAACGTCACCGGATAATTTAAAAACTGGTTAATTAACAGTATGACAGTCCCAGTGTGTGTGTGTGTGTGTGTGTGTGTGGTGTGTGTGTGTGTGTGTGTGTGTGTGTGTGTGTGTGTGTGTGTGTGTGTGTGTGGTGTGTGTGTGTGTGTGTGTGTGTGTGTGTGTGTGTGTGTGTGTGTGTGTGTGTGTGTGTGTGTGTGTGTGTGTGTGTGTGTGTGTGTGTGTGTGTGTGTGTGTGTGTGTGTGTGTGTGTGTGGCAGCCTGGTGAAGGTGTTACTACGTCTCCGGTTCGATGGCTGTTGCCGCGGAAACGATTTTCGTGTGCTGGTTAAAGATGGCGTCGAAGGCCTCGTCTCTGTGGATCATCGCGCCGAACACCATCGGCTGCAACAAGACAGGAAGTGAGTTCAATTCAGATACTAATACTTTACTTAACATGTAATCTATCAATTAAATGTATTTATACAATATAACTGGAGGGAGCACAGGGATTGAACCCTAACCCAAGGGAAAGACCCCAGAAAGGTGTGCAACAAGACATCACTATGTAACACTCGCGCTTCTATTGGCTAGTGCTCCGACACATTGTATGATGTGAGAGGACTCTTTAAAGTAGAGACACTACATACTGATATACACCTGAACATCAGCAGGAGAAGACTCTTTAAAGTAGAGACACTACATACTGGTATACACCTGAACATCAGCAGGAGAGGACTCTTTAAAGTAGAGACACTACATACTGATATACACCTGAACATCAGCAGGAGAGGACTCTTTAAAGTAGAGACACTACATACTGATATACACCTGAACATCAGCAGGAGAGGACTCTTTAAAGTAGAGACACTACATACTGATATACACCTGAACATCAGCAGGAGAGGACTCTTTAAAGTAGAGACACTACATACTGATATACACCTGAACATCAGCAGGAGAGGACTCTTTAAAGTAGAGACACTACATACTGATACACACCTGAACATTAGTATAATAGGGCCCCTTTAACTTGTAACAGTATTTTTACACCGTAGAAATCCATTCCAGGCTCTCTTGTTATTTGCACGCTTTGTTTTATATCTTAATTTAACTCATTAACTTCCACATTGCATCAGATCATAGCGCCCTGTCTTCTCGTACCTTTGTTGTGGACGGCGTTGCGATGGAGATGCCGCTCCCTGACCCCGGCAGCACGGACAACACTTTGTACTGAGAAGAGAAAAAAAGCAACACAAACGTTTTTTTTAAAACTAATTTAAAAACAAAACAACAACAGAAACATACTCTGATTGACTTTTAAATATCAGTATAGAATACTTGATTTAAAATGTTAGTAAATAGTGAAACATTTTCATCCCGGTTCCTCAAAGTCCAAGATGATGTATTTCAATGTTTTGTCACTATAAACACCAAAGATTTTCACTCTTTTTTTAACAATATTTAATATTGTTCTAACTTATTTCCTTTTATATTTGTATGCCGAAGGCGAGAGGGGTCTGCCTGCAGGCTCCACTCTCAGGACAGTTCCGTCTGATGGAAGTTTTCAAATCACAATGGAGACTTGTGATGAGTCCGCTCACCATGGAACCTCCCCACCTCCGTCGCGCTGCACTCGGCAAACACGGTTGTTTCTCGAACCCTCCACTGTTGTCTAGCGTGTGTAACTAAAATATAAGATGTTGTTATTTATATATATAATAAGTGTCAGTGCGATTTTATTTTGTCCTCAGAGTGGAGGTGTCCTCAGAGTGGAGGTGTCCTCAGAGTGGAGGTGTGCTCAGAGTGGAGGTGTCCTCAGAGTGTAGGTGTCCTCAGAGTGGAGGTGTCCTCAGAGTGGAGGTGTCCTGAGAGTGGAGGTGTGCTCAGAGTGGAGGTGTCCTGAGAGTGGAGGTGTCCTCAGAGTGGAGGTGTCCTCAGAGTGGAGGTGTCCTGAGACTGGCGCCCTGGCCAAATTGGGGCCCTACGCAACATTTTGTCAGAACAAACCTTCTGGATGTCGGTGATGTCGGCCAGTTTGATGACTTTGTTCCTCTTGGAGGATCCAGATCTGGAGCTGGAGCTCTCAAAACACAGATGACTGAAAACAGAGGAACAAACACGGATCCAGTTTTACACGTTTCACAGTGTTTATTCTGCACTTGTGTATTTAAAATGTTTTGTACGGAGAGTAAAGTTTGGAGAAATTTGACAATTTGTTCTGATCTTCTATAAATACTACGGCCTCAGCTTGATCTCAAAACTTTAAGTATTTCAGTCTCCCTCCTCATCTGTGTTCCGTCTGAAAACATTGTGCGGGAACAATAATCAATGTGAACAGGAAGTGAGGGACTTACTTCTCGGTGACGTAGAGGTATCCGTTGCGGATGTAGTCAGTGGGCGACTTCCTGTCTCTGTTGATGAGGCAGCAGCGCCAGCCGCTCTCACACACTGACACACAAAGAGTCAAACATCACTACATGCAGGAGGGTCAGGCAGCGTCTTGTGGGAATGAGGGCGTGTCCAGTGCTTGAAGACTCAATGTACTTTTAAGGGTCACACATGTATAAAGACATTAGTATTTTTCATTAGAGGTTAATGTATGTCACTGTGAAGCAGTTAGACCTACCTGTTGAAGATGGAACTAGTAATCGCCGTTAATACCTGTGCGATATATACCTAGCTGCTATATCTTCAGAACTGTTACAGGATGTGTATTTTGTAAATTGTGTAATTATTTTAATTATGTTTTGTCTTTAATATTTGTTCTTATGCTTCTTAGGTAACATTAAGCTGTCTTTGGTTCTTTTCTGCGGTAACAAATGTAAATGTCCGCTCTGTGGGACTAATAAAGGTATTCTGATTCTCATTCTGATAATTTAACATTCATCTGAATAAACACTTTGTTGGGAGAATTGATTTTGCTAAATTCTTAGCTACGGTCCAGTAAAGAAAGGTTGTTTTAGATGAAAGACTTGTTTTCTACTTTAATTCAAATAAACAAACACAACAAATACCAATAAACAAAAGCAACAAACACATATCTAGAGTTCCTGCCCACCTGTCAGGGGGCGCTCGCTCTCCTGCAGGTTGAACACCTCGTGGAAAGCTCCTCTCTTGGTGCTGCTGTATCGCCCTCCGTCTTCATCCCGGCTCGCACCGAGAGGAGCCGCCGGGCCGACGCTGCCCCGCCCGCTGGATAACGTGACCTGGAGGGGGGGGGGGGGATACTAGCTTTAACATTCAGCAGCAGAGAGGATCTGTGGGAACGTCCTGAACATCACTGTGAGACGAGTCTATTGTTGTTCCAACCAATGGATGCATTATCAGAGCGGCGTGTTAATCACACTAATATGGATTTGACAGCTGTGTTCGCTTCACAGAGTATCGTTTCCAGAGCAGATTGATGAAAATAGTGCTTTTTTACCATGAAAGACTATTCCCAGTTATGCTGAGTTTAGTATAATTGTAATCCAACCTTTAACCCGGACAACTCAGATGTGTTCACAGCTCTTCACAAGATCCGAGCCAATGATCACCTTCCTTTGTGGCTGAAATCTCGACTATGTCCTGAAGACTTAAGGATTTTTAGAGTCTTACACAAAATGTAACGTTGGTGGTGAAGAGGAGAAGAACCAACTTCTATATTTGTTTACCTGACCGAAAATTGTCCCTAAAAACTAAAAAAGATGTTGATTCAAACCTTTTAACATTAGTTTGGAAACATGAACATTTGGTAGGATCTGAGAGTGACCTGAGGATGGCGCCAGAGGAAAGGGGACATTAAAATATCAAGAAGAACAATTCTGCTGATCATCAATGTGTAGAAGTTTTACCTTTATTACAAACCTGAAAGAAATTGAGTAAAAGAGGCAACATTTCACGTATAGGTTTATGATAACTCAAACTAACACCGTCACAAACACTACCAGCAGCTGACAGGGGGGCAGTATTATCACTACTTATCTAACTACAATAAACACTGCTGATCCACACACACACACACACACACACACACACACACACACACACACACACACACACACACACACACACACACACACACACACACACACACACACACACACACACACACACACACACACACACACACACACACACACACACACACACACACACCATGATCCTACCTGTTCAGACTCAGACAGCTGTGAGAGAAGAACAAATGCAAACTGAACAACCAGGAACACCAGGAACCAGCTGCTGGGACCAGTAAGAACCAGAGGAGGAGGGAGTATTGCTTTACTTCATTAGAAGTAGTAATATTACAAGTAATTAAGTGAAAGTCCTGAAATCAAAAAACATTCTCAAGTATTACAATGAATGACTGTTTTATTATAATTGATGCATTTAAGTGCATCACTTTAATGTTGCAACTGATGTTTTCTGGATATTTCTTATTCTAATTTTGTTTTTTTTCTGTACATTTTGTGGATGTCTTTGAGGTATTCTGTGTATATATTTTTTAGGTATTTTCTGGATATTGTCCTGGTATTTTCTGGATATTTCAGAGTGTGTACTGACCCTCCTGGTGAGCGTGGAGCCGCCGCGCTCCTTCAGCTGCAGGTCGGTGGGCAGGTGGGTCCAGATGATGAACGGCGTGTCGAAGCGCTGCCTCAGCTTCGGACAGCTCTTGAAGAGGAAGTCGATGATGAAGAACTTTATACCTGCGTACACACCTGAGCAGAGAGACAAGTCAGAGACACTGAATATCTAATTTAGTGGGAATGGTGTTAACAGCATTCCCACTAACTGTTATGCTACGCACGAAAAGTTTATTATTATTATTCCGCCGGTATTTTGGCCCTCTTCTCCTCCCGTATTGAACATCGCAGAAACTCCGTTCAAACATCAAAACGTTCAGCTCGGTCGGGAGTCGATGGCTATTACTTTTCTCATTCATAACTTTCATAATTCCAGAGATACATCCCATAATACATCACATTTTTAACATTGAAGTCAATGGAGGAAATCTTCAGACTTCAACAAATCTTCATGTGACTTCAACTGCTAACTGTTCATTCATACTTTCACTCAGAAACCTCATTCCAACTTTAAAATGTTACACATCTTTCTGACATTATTCGTGCAAAACAACTTTTAAATCTCATTCTTACTTTTAGAGATATTAAACATTGTTCAGACATTGTTTGAGAGGTTTTCTTCAGATTTTAACATTAACTAGAGTGCGTGATGTCACAGCTAGAGGGTAGAAAATCTTGAAATGTGCCTTCATATATATTTTTTAAAACTGCCATAATTCCCAAACCCTACATTCCTGAGACATCATTTATCATGAAAAACGTAGGAAAACATCTCGTAGCTTGAAAAATGACAAATAATTAAGCAAAAATAATTAAACAAAATGCCTCTTGAGGGCATGAAGTGACAAAAACGTTCAAAACTCGTCCATTGAAGCCCATTGTAATTTCAGGCAGATATTTCCTCACGGTAGCAGCCGCACACCTTTAGTTAAACTGCCAAAAAGGCCACATTATTAACCCGAAAGTACACAAAGATTACACTTCAGATACTCAACTTCCTTGACATGCTACACATTTTGAAATTTCACAGATATCTGTTACGGTTCTTCCACAAAACGTTCACATGTAAGAGGTTTATCTCTCATTCAGAACAATGGAAACCTTTGATCTCTGCACACCTCGTTAGCTCAAATATAAACACCTGTGTAATGGAACACGATGCTGACGTGCTCAGAGCAGCAGACTCCAGATAGCAGTGTGCTAGCAGTCCAGCCATGAAGACATCTACGGGACAGTTTGAGATTTCTTCAAATGCCTTTGCCATGGCAACACAATGCTCGCCATGAAACACGGTTTTCTCATAACTTCAGTGAAACTGCTCCAAACGCCCCAAAATTCACAGGTTTGGTAACGATGCAGGCATCAACGCATCTAAGCGTATTATGGGGTGTCATCAAATGCCGTTGCCATGGCGACAGACCACTCTCCATGAAACATGATGTGGCTGTAAATCCAATCGACACGGTCCAATCGTCCCCCAATCTTCACTTGTATATCACCGGTCCATGCCTCAACAGCTCTACGCCAAATCTGAGATCTCACCATATGCCGTTTCCATGGAAACGCATCCCTCGCCATAAAACATGATGTCGCTATAACTCCTATGAAAATGTTCAAAAAGTGCTCAAGTGTGCTAACAGTCCAGCCTTGAAGACATCTACGGGACCGTTTTGAGATTTCTTCAATTGCCGTTACCTTGGCAACAAAATGCTCGCCTGGAAACACGGTTCTCATAACTTCAGTGAAACTGCTCCAAACGCCCAGGTTTGGTAAGGATGCAGCCATCAACGCATCTAAGCGTATTATGGGGTGTCATCAAATGCCGTTGCCATGGCGACAGATCATTCGCCATCAAGTTAGTTCAGAAGTTTGCAGTTCAAATATTCTGCTGCTTTTCCAAGCTTTTTTTACTTTATTTTCTTCTCTCATCACACATTCAAGCCCCCAGTGTTCATGTATCATTTCAATCTAAATTCTTCACTTTCTTCTTCCACATTACATTTCAGCATAGCAGTTTAGCGTCAGCTTTTCAGCATAAAGCATTCCCACTAGCAATTTCCTCTGGAATTGCATTCTCTAGTTCAATCTGTTGTTCAACTGAATACAATGCACAGAAATGTATTAAATGCACGATTACTCAAATAATAATTACAATAACAGTTTATGCTTCCTACCAAAAACCTCATCAACTGCGATATCGACATTTAAACACTGATCGGCTGCTTATCAAATTAGGTGCTTCCTAAAGTAATGACCACCAGGGGGCGCTTGGAATAAGGAAACTACGCAGCAGAGAGAAGAAGAGTAAGGCCAAATCCCAAACCACGCCCTACCCCTACCCCTACACACTCCCCCTCCGTGACTGAGTGACACTTGCAGCTCAACGAGTCTCCCTCCTGTCAGATAGAGGGAGTAAATACAGCGGCAAGCTTTGGGACGGCCTCCCCTCTCTCCGGCAGAAACAGGAAATGCCGTAACTGTATGTAACAACGGTTTCAAATCAGCATATCTTTGACAAAGATAAAATAAATAACTCAAATAAAACTCCAAACATCTTTAATTGTGTTCTTTTAGTTTTAAAGCTGATGTTTATAAGCTTCTTAGTTTTTGCAACAGTCTGTAAATATACAACTTTATAATAAAATGCACACATTTACCTGTTTCTAGACTAAACACAGGTTTGATCCTAAGTTAAAACATGAGGTTATCATGAGGTTGTTAACATCGCAGTTTATCAGTGGATGTTTGCTGGAACTACTTGTTAACAGCTTGTTTCCTGACGGACACACACAGCGTTGAGACCGGTCAGGTAGAGACCGGTCTCAAGTCAGCACCGCTGCAGACTCGCTGTTTGAGGGCTTGATAGCCCACTCCCCCTCCACACCGCTCCACACTCGTTGCTTTGGAACAGCCCTTAATGTGGCGAATGCGCAAACGGAGGGGTAGTGTGTAGGGGTAGGATGTGGTTTGGAATTGGGTCTTAGATACAAAAGTGTAGGAGGACAAAACTAAAATGCACTGAATTCAGGTGAAGAAAAATGTCATGTTAAATCCTCTATTGATGCAAATATGCGTTATTTAGCAGGAATTCAGCAGTTAATTGAATGTGAAATGGTTAGTTCTACTTACTTAATACTTTTGTACTTTTAGTAAGTAAACTTTTATATGCAGGACTTGTAACAGAGTAATTATACAATGTGGTATTAGTACTTTCACTTAAGTAAACCATTTTAGTAGGCCTACTGCTTAATTAAATGTATAAGTGTGCGTGTGTGTGTGCGTGTGTATGTGTGCGTGCGTATGTGCGTGTGTGTCATACCTATGAAGAATCCCAGCAGTTTGAACGGCAGCAGGCAGGAGGAGATGAAGGCCAGCCACAGACCAACGTACAGCTTCTGAGTCAACTCAGGCTGCACCCAAATGAACAAACTACACACACACACACACACACACACACACACACACACACACACACACACACACACACACACACACACACACACACACACACACACACACACACACACACACACACACACACACACACACACACACACACACACACACACACACACACACACACACACACAGTATTACATGTCTGTCCACGGACCATCATTCCTCTCTGACGTGGAGCAAAGTGTGTGACTCACTTCTTGATTTTCTCCAGTCTGTTCGCCATCCTGCCAAAGAGGTTCTGAGACACAAAAGGAACATCTTTTAATAATAAGAAGAAGAAGTTTATTTAGTGGAGCAGCTTTCACAGCAATAACATCACAAAGTGCTTCACAAGAAAGAACAAACGTTTAAAACTAAGACCACAGAAACATGAATACAATAACAACATGAGGCAGAAATGTCAAGGTCAACATAAAACAAAACACAGACCACGTGGAGTCCCGAAAGAAACACACATAAGAACACAACAAACATCTCAAGTAGAAACAAAGGCAAAGTAAAAAGATTGGTCTTCAGTAGTTTGTTTGTAGTGAATCTGTCTGAGCTGACGTAGCTCCGCTGAACTCTCCGTCTCGTCTCACCTGAGCTTTCTGAGCCACGTCCAGAACCAGCGTGAACTTCTCCGACACCGTCAGGTCTTCTTTGGGAGGCTCCTGGAAACCAGAGGAGACAATAAGGAGATACAAACTGACACAATCATCTACACAACTAGTGACCATGACAACGCAACTTCCCCAGCTAATTACTCACATTAAGAAATACACTGTGTGTTTGTATGAGAACTTCCACAATAACATGTTTTTGTATTGAAACCAGGCATAACCTTATCATATATGTGTTATTATGCATACCTTTCGAGAACAGACATCTAAAAAAGTCAGGTCTAAACGTAGGTAGAGTACATGAAAGTTCCTTAAAATTTAGTAAATGTACTTAATAACAATGCAAGTTACATTCAAATGTTATGTTTTTTAATGCAAATATGGTATTATTTTAATAAATATGAGTTAATTTGAATACTTTTCAACAACAGAAATCTGAAAAATAAGTAACACAGGTCATTTGAATTTATAGGACAGAAATGTATGTCAAATACTCTAAACTACCTCAAAACTGGAATATGTTACATGGAATTTTTGATATTAAAAAGGCACAACCGTTTTTAATACCAAATTTGAATACAAATGAATTATTCGTCAATTAAAAACCTACTTTTCATGACCATTAAAAGTCATTCCACTATTTAACATGACATGACATTAAATGACGTCCCATAGCCACCAGGTGGAGCTGTTAGTCTGTCACACTAACTTCCTGTTCACCTGTCCAGGTAGCCTGTCAGGACACTTTCAGATTTTAAATGGATATTTCTTTTCATGTTGAAGATAAATTACAGAGAGATTTCTCACCACGGGCTCGGAGACTTCAGGTACGATGCTCCACTGGATCCTCCAGCCTCTGAGAGCAGTGCATCATGGGAACACACAGGTAGATATGAGATCATTTCACACTGTCTAAATATATCTGTTTGTCAAAGATTTTGAATTCAAGCTGCTCAGAATCATTGGTTCATTTTTAAAACACAGTGAGGCTTCGAGTGGATGAAAAGTTACCTATCTGTCAAGAATGGAATAAAAAACATCTATTAAAACATTTTAATTAGTGACGTTTCCTCTACCTGACTGAAGTACTTTACTCCATGTTACACTCTTAAACACATAGTTAACCCCCTTCTATTTCCCATTGAGTAGTTTTAAAGAACATACAGTCATAAAGTTACGTAACCGGGGTCTAAGTACCCTAAACGAGCCAGAGCAACAGCTCATTAATGGAGCGTCTGAGAAATAGCTGTAACTAACAATTATATTGTTCAATTGATTGTTATCATAAAACCCAGATAACAGTGCCAATATCCTACCAGTTCCTCACAGGCGATGTGTTAAAATGTCCTGTTTTTAAGTACAAATACCAAATATATTCAGTTTAATATGATATAAAACATAAAAGCAGAAAATCTCTAGATTTTGGAAAGCTGAAAACAGCATTTTCTGCCATTTCTGAAAAATAACATTTACGGTAAATACTTTTTCAAAAATAGTTTCAGAATATTCTGATAGATTAGTTGACTGGAGTTAAGATGCATAAATGTAATGAACCCCCCCCGATCTATTATTCATCTGATTCACCTGCATGTTACTTAAATTGCCTATACGAGAAGATTGATGTCAACCTGATTAACAGGGTGTTTCTCAATGTCGAGGACGCTTCCTTGTCCTCCGAGTCAGGTCCATCAGAGGCTAGGCAAGAATCCTTCCTGGCATTCGGAGAACGAAGAATGGAACAGGCTAGCAAGTGTGCAGGTGTGCGTCATATGAGAGGCCCCGCCTTACGCCAGCAAAGCTCCGCGTCGCTTCCCATGCAGTGAATCCAAAGTGAATGGTGAAGCTTTCAACGCACGCCGCTGTGTGGACGGGCCAGTACCCCGGCCTCGGTAGAATTCCAAGTATCCTGGACATTGGAAAAGTCCTTCGGCGGGACTCAATGACGTAGTATCCTTGAAATAGTGGCTCTGGAGCAGTTTTCCTCGACATTGAGAAACACCCACTGTCTCTGATTGGAGCCGTGCGATTGGCTGTAGGAGAGAGAGGGGCGGGGCTTACACTGACCTGGCGATGAGATAATTTAAAGAGAGTCGGACGATGGCGAGGAACAGGAACATCGGGACGGCCCAGCCGTGCCACGCTGCATACATATAGACCTGCAACACACACACACACATTTTTAAGGTGTCTTTATATATTATGTAGATAATTCATGTGAATGCACACTAATAGATGAAGATGCAATAATTAAAAGGTGTCACGGATCAAGATGAGGTCACGACTAAATGAAAAACGTTTCAACTGGAGTGTAAAATCTGATCTTATACTGAAACTCTTTGTCTTTTTATAATATTTATAGTCAACAAAGTATAGTTAAACTTCAAAATGAATGCTCAAAATATACATGTATCCTTCTTTAAATGTTTTGTTGAGACTGTGTCGGCGAGAAACTCCCTCTGGGGGAACTTTCAGATGTTACCCTTTGCAGACCATTTACATGCACTAAATCCTATACAACACTACAGGACCTCTTTAATAAATGAAAAGATAGGAGCGTTTTAGAAAATATGGATCTGAAATTTACCAAATGAATAATAAATAAATAAATCGCATTTTTATAAATCCCAACATGTTTCAGTTTCCTCAAAAACAACTCGTCATCAAAATAATCATTAGTTTATTTTCTATTTTTCTATATTTTTCTACACTATAATAGTTGTTTATATACACTTTATAGTTTTCTTTTTCATTTGCAATGAAAGGAGCTCCAAGAAGGCGTGTAGGACAGAGAGTGAATACACAGACTATACAGAGATGCTGGATGAGAAACCAATGTGATTTTGGAACATTGAACAATGTGAATGTATTCTAGTAGACCTCAACACTGGAATTATGATCAGTAGAAATGGCCATGACATGGGACCTTTAAAAAGCGCTCCACAAATCATTTTTTATTATTATCATCATCAGTAACCTTCGGGCTGAACTCACAATAAAGGCGATGGCCGAGGTGTAGACGGAGTACCAGCTGGACAGCGCCGTCAGGTTCCTCTTGAAGTTGGACAATGGTTTCAACCCTCGCTCTGAAAAAAACAGAAACTGACCAATCACAGACGCAGAGAAACACAGATGTATCTTGATAGCTCTTGTATTCTGTATTGTTTGTGATGAACGGTGAAGGAAAGTATTAATACTCACTGAGTCTTCTCATGTTTTCAGTCAACCTGTGTGTCGGAAACCACATTAGGATGTATTTATTTAAAGATATTCAGCTTTAACACATTGTTTTTATCACAAATTGGGATTTTCGTTCGTCACAGCGGCATCAGACATGAGTTAACAATATAATTAAATAAAAAAAACAAAAATAAAGATCTATTATTTTTATAACAGAAAGAATACAAATAAAACCTTATGAAAAAAAGATTTTCGTTCGTCACAGCGGCATGTTAACAGGCATCAGACATGAGTTAAAAATATAATAAAATAAAAAATAATTTTTTTTATAAAAGACGAAGAAAAAACTAAAATCAAATATTATAAAAAATATAATAAATATTAAATGAAGCATACTGTACAGAATAAGTTCAAATACTCTTAAGAGGACCTACATCTATCTAGTATTAAAGGTCACCTATCATGCTATTTGTAGGCAATAGCATAGGTCTCAGCAGTGGCGGCCGGCCCATAGGGGCGCTAGGGGCGCCGCCCCACCTCTTCCCACATACAAAAAAAAAATATTAAAAAAAATATAAAATTAAAAAATATATATTTAAAAAATATATATATTTTATATTTGTATTTGTAATGAACAAGGTAAATATCATACAATTGGTATCAGTAAAATGTATAATCTACAATAAAATCTCGTTTAAAATGGTGTTACGATGTCTAAAGTTACTGATAAGTCACAGGTTTCCTGCCTGACCTTGCCCGTGGCATTAGTTTATCATTACCGGGCAGAGCCCCCGAGCCAAACAGCAGCAACCAGCACGTTGCAAAAGTCTCAATAGTAAACTGTGCCGCCGAAACATAATTTCAGCCAATCAGCGACGTCAAATATTTTGGTCACGAGGGCGCTCACGTTGGCGCCCACGTTGCTTACGTGCGTTGACGTGAGTTGTTTTTTAGACTCGTGAGTGACCAAGGTGACGCAGTAGTTAGATGACAATGGTGTGCAGGTGGAGTCGCCGGACCTTGGTCCCCGCCCAATTCCGTGCAAGAGCTAATCTCCAATCCTTTCGAAAGGAGAAGTTTGGGAGATAAACTGTTGCTTAAAGACCTTGGACCGGACCAACCCGATTTGTATACATCACAGCAAGCTCGTGAAAAAGACAAAACGTATCAACGAGGCTTCTCACGTAGCTGGTACACCAGAAAGGCATGGCTAGCTGGATGCAAACAGGTAAATGCTGTCTTTTGTTTCCCATGCTTGCTCTTCAAACAGCCGGGGACAGATACGATCTGTTCAGAAACTAGACAAAAGTTAAACAAGTACAAACCACAGACTGTCTGTGTCATGGAGAATACAGTCACTGGTTTATTTATGTCTGTATAGGCCGTTGTTGTGAGTGTGGACGGTCGGAACATATATAACGTTAGCATAGCCAAGCTCCATTCAGAAAACAAGCATTCTAAAAGGTTTCTCGCCTGCCGTCTGTCTGCAGATTTGTCAAAGCATTAATTCATGGTTTTTACTAACCGGTATCAGTATGTTGTTACGTCGGCATCATTTAGAAACGTGTATTACAATTTAATCACGGTCAAATATATTCATTTTGTTGTAGTTGTAGCTCCCGAGCCAGCGCCTCTTGTTTGAATGATGCGAGTAAACACAGCTGGCAGCCGCGGTGAAACTCGAGCGACTAGAGCAATGCGATAGGAGCGTTTAGAGCGAAGCGAATATTCGCATCACGTCCGGTCTGAACGCAGCATTAAAGCGAGCTCCGCGCTGCACTGGAAACGCGCCATTACATCACCAGAAGTCCTAATTTAAGGGGTCATTTCTCCCAAAAAAAATGTTTTTACTCACTATATCAACAGCCCCACCAAAAATATTTTTCCACCAGCCGCCACTGGGTCTCAGATATATAAAAATACATAAAAAACATGTCTATGAAGTGTTTTGCTCAAAATACCAAACAGATCACCCATTCTAGCCATGCCTCATATCCCTCTGTTTCACTTCCTGTTTCAAAAGTGCTGAGTTGGATATAAAGCTTTAAAAAAAAAAAAAAATTGATAAAAAAAAAAAATTCTAAAAAAAGGAGCTTTCGAAATAAAGAGGAGGGGTCTGAGCTCATGCGGGACCCGGCAGCTACTGTCTAAACTAAATACTGCCGTGATGAAACGCCATATCATGGATTATCAAGGATTATTTCTGAAACAGTATGGAGCTCAAAGGCTTTCTCTCTTGCTGGTTACGGTACGGAGGAAAAGAGAGAGGGTTTTATTTCTGACGCTGCGTGAGTTCCCCCGACACACCGGGGACACATATTTAAAAAGTGCATTAAAAAATAAAAGCAATATTCTTTCAGTCACAGTTGCTTACAAATACTGAAACATGAAAGCAGAACACGATCAAAAGTCAACTTCATACTGTCTAATAACACTTTCTTTATACATTTTCTGAAACATAAAACATTTCTTACAGCCCTTGTCTTCAACAATGAAATGAATCGCATCTATTTTTTTTAGGGTTTCTGTGTTTCCCCTCCTCACCTCTTGGCGCTCAGCGGCTCGTCCGTCTCCACCGTCTGCTCCTCCTGCTGGAAGCGGAAGTCCTCGATGTAAACGCCAAATCTATCGTAGAGACACTTCCGGAAGCTGCTGGACCAAGTGTCCTTCTGTTTGTCTGAAGATGAGAAGAAGAAAAGATGGAGGTTACATGGTTGTTGACATTTCACCACATTTATACACTGAGGTTTATACTAGACTTTGCCTTGTATGAAAATATCAGTCACAGATATCTGAAAAATCTGGACGAATAAAACCTAAACTATGATTTTATAAACAATATAATTACTTATCTATAGAAGAACAAGAACATTTTATTCATACAATTACATGTGTGTTACTCACATTCGTGTTCTGTGGTTTTATGTGTAGGTCTTAGTATAGAGTGGTGAAGAAATGAGTCCTAAAACCTGGAAATGAGTTGGCATTTTACAACTTCCTGTTCACTCGTCTTGAAGTCAACATTTTTTACCATAGTTTGGTTGTGAGCCTGAAATAAGGTCTGTGGTTAACACAAGCTGAAGAGATTAAAAAGTGTTGTCCTACGAAATAAAATGCGTCAGTAAATACCCCACTGCTGAATTTAAAAATGGCGGTTGTTAACAAGTATCTAAATGAGTCATGTGACCGTGCTGTAGTTCCTTTATAGCCCAACATTAGCCACCTTTAGCTTAGCGGTGGTGACGTGAAGTCATGTGACCGTGCTGTAGTTCATTTATAGCCCAACATTAGCCACCTTTAGCTTAGCGGTGGTGACGTGAAGTCATGTGACCGTGCTGTAGTTCATTTATAGCCCAACATTAGCCACCTTTAGCTTAGCGGTGTTGACGTGAAGTCATGTGACCGTGCTGTAGTTCCTTTATAGCCCAACATTAGCCTCCTTTAGCTTAGCGGTGGTGACGTGAAGTCATGTGACCGTGCTGTAGTTCATTTATAGCCCAACATTAGCCACCTTTAGCTTAGCGGTGTTGACGTGAAGTCATGTGACCGTGCTGTAGTTCCTTTATAGCCCAACATTAGCCTCCTTTAGCTTAGCGGTGGTGACGTGAAGTCATGTGACCGTGCTGTAGTTCATTTATAGCCCAACATTAGCCACCTTTAGCTTAGCGGTGTTGACGTGAAGTCATGTGACCGTGCTGTAGTTCCTTTATAGCCCAACATTAGCCACCTTTAGCTTAGCGGTAGTGACGTGAAGTCATGTGACTTCTTTATAGCCTAACATTAGCTTTTTCATTCTGGAGATTGCATTTACACTTCAATTGTTATAAAAGTGGTGTTAATATGTGGAGATTATCCTGCTGAACCAAACAAGTAATTATCATAAAAGTTTGATCAAGAGATTATTTTGTGCAATTTTCCGAAATCCATTGGTAAAATCCCATTGGCTTTTTGTTTTATTTAGGGAGCCCTTGCGATGCTTACTTCCGTTTTGGCCCACAAAGATACATCATCCCTGCACCACTCGAACATCCTATGACTGATGAAACTACATTTCAAAAATATTGAACGATAACGAGTAATGTAAGAAAAAGATAAACTCACCTGTACCGCTGGCTGCAGATGTAGAAGGGAGCGGGGCTTTAGGCGTTTGTGAAGGTGAGTCTTCAAGTCTGTAAAGCAACAGAAACGATCATTCAGGTGATCAGATTCAGCCATGAGACTACAGGAACAAACCGCTCTGTCTGATGGTTAGCATTAGCTCATTAAAAAACGTTTATTTTTATTTAAAGGTCCTCTATCATACTGTTTTTCATCAATATATCACAGGTCTCAGATATATCCAGAGCCTGTCTCTGATTGGCTGAAACACCAAACAGATCATTGCATTACCCATAATCCCATCTGTTTCAGCCCTGTTTCCAAAGTGCTGATTCTCTGTCTGTTACTTTAGATGAAAATAAGGAGCCCCTCCCCACGCCCCTCTGAGAGAGATTTGGTTACAAAGAACTCAATGGTGCTCTAGAGGAGATTCAGGTGATAAGGGGGGTTTACCTTGGTTGGTGATTGGCTAATGGTTACACAAGACAAAACATCGTTATGACATCATAAAGTGGCCAAAATCTGATCAGTTCATTTTCAGACAGGTTTTTATAGAAATGGATCAAAAAGAGAGAGAATCTTTGTTCCTGAAACTTTCAGAGTCTCTTTCCACAAAGGGGACACATGTTGATGTAGAAGAGACATGAAGAAGAGGGGACACATGTTGATGTAGAAGAGACATGAAGAAGAGGGGACACATGTTGATGTAGAAGAGACATGAGGAAGAGGGGACACATGTTGATGTAGAAGAGACATGAAGAAGAGGGGACACATGTTGATGTAGAAGAGACATGAGGAAGAGGGGACACATGTTGATGTAGAAGAGACATGAAGAAGAGGGGACCCATGTTGATGTAAAAGAGAAATGAAGAAGAGGGGACACATGTTGATGTAGAAGAGACATGAAGAAGAGGGGACACATGTTGATGTAGAAGAGACATGAAGAAGAGGGGACACATGTTGATGTAGAGAAGAGACATGAAGAAGAGGGGACACATGTTGAGGTAGAGGAGACATGAAGAAGAGGGGACACATGTTGATGTAGAAGAGACATGAAGAAGAGGGGACACATGTTGATGTAGAAGAGACATGGAGAAGAGGGGACACATGTTTGATGTAGAAGAGACATGGAGAAGAGGGGACACATGTTGATGTAGAAGAGACATGGAGAAGAGGGGACACATGTTGATGTAGAAGAGACATGAAGAAGAGGGGACACATGTTGATGTAGAAGAGACATGAAGAAGAGGGGACACATGTTGATGGCGAAGATACATGAAGAAGAGGGGACACATGTTGATGTAGAAGAGACATGAAGAAGAGGGGACACATGTTGATGTAGAAGAGACATGAAGAAGAGGGGACACATGTTGATGTAGAAGAGACATGGAGAAGAGGGGACACATGTTGATGGCGAAGAGACATGAAGAAGAGGGGACACATGTTGATGTAGAAGAGACATGAAGAAGTGGGGACACATGTTGATGTAGAAGAGACATGAAGAAGAGGGGACACATGTTGATGTAGAAGAGACATGAAGAAGAGGGGACACATGTTGATGTAGAAGAGACATGAAGAAGAGGGGACACATGTTGATGTAGAAGAGACATGAAGAAGAGGGGACACATGTTGATGTATGAAAGACATGAAGAAGAGGGGACACATGTTGATGTAGAAGAGACATGAAGAAGAGGGGACACATGTTGATGTATGAAAGACATGAAGAAGAGGGGACACATGTTGATGTAGAAGAGACATGAAGAAGAGGGGACACATGTTGATGTAGAAGAGACATGAAGAAGAGGGGACACATGTTGATGTAGAAGAGACATGAAGAAGAGGGGACACATGTTGATGGCGAAGATACATGAAGAAGAGGGGACACATGTTGATGTAGAAGAGACATGAAGAAGAGGGGACACATGTTGATGTATGAAAGACATGAAGAAGTGGATTTTGCATAATAGGTGACCTTTAATAAGCACCTGGGTTTCAGCACGTCGTTGATCTTCTGCTCCAGCTCGCTGCAGCGGCTGCGCTCTCTCTCCAGCTCGTGCCGCAGTGAATCCACGTTGGACTCCTCTCTCAGTTTCTTCAGCTCCTCCTCTGAAAACAGACGAGGATGAGACACGACACGTTCATGTTACCCAAAACTAAATCAAACATCAAACAGAAGTGGTGGAAGTACTCCGATCTTGTACTTGAGTAAAAGTACAGAGGAAGTACCAGAGTGTATGAATACTCTGTTACAGTTAAAGTCCTACATTTAAAATGTTACTCAAGTAAAAGTAGAAAAGTATTATCATCAACATATACTTGTAACTCTTTATTTGTGTGTGTGTGTGTGTGTGTGTGTGTGTGTGTGTGTGTGTGTGTGTGTGTGTGTGTGTGTGTGTGTGTGTGTGTGTGTGTGTGTGTGTGTGACGAGGTTAAGCAGGCTTATTAGCAGTGTGTGTTATGTAAAGCTGACGAACAGATATTGACAGATTACCCAGCATGCATCTGTGCTGTAGGGCATTTAACCCTGAAGTGATGCTAAAGGCCAGAATGAGTCGACAGCCAATTAACACACAACTCTCCCAGCCACACATTTAAAAAGGGACACTTTACTTTAACTTATTTTATGCTAAATTAAACCAATAAAATAACCTTGACTCAAGATCCAATAATCAGCTTTAACCTGGCTAAAACATTCTGTGTATTTAAGTGTTTTTGTTTATATTGTCTTTATTGAAATGTTGCAGGTAGCGACATTATTTATTAATGGTGGTTAATTTGAGAAGAGAGAAACAAATAAATTCAAGATAAATAACAAAAATAGTGGTGATTATAATACTACTATCACGATAGTTATTCAATAAAAAGAAAAAGAAATACAAAAAAAAGAAAACAACAATATATTTCAGAAGAAAATGTCTAAATAAAACTGAGTTCAAGAAATATATATACAGTGGGGCAAAAAAGTATTTAGTCAGCCACCAATTGTGCAAGTTCTCCCACTTAAAAAGATGAGAGGCCTGTAATTTTCATCCTAGGTAAACCTCAACTATGAGAGACAACATGAGAAAAAAGAAAATCCAGAAAATCACATTTGTCTGATTTTTAAAGAATTTATTTGCAAATTATTGTGGAAAATAAGTATTTGGTCAATAACAAAAGTTCATCTCAATACTTTGTTATATACCCTTTGTTGGCAATGACAGAGGTCAAACGTTTTCTGTAAGTCCTCACAAGGTTTTCACACACTGTTGCTGGTATGTTGGCCCATTCCTCCATGCAGATCTCCTCTAGAGCAGTGATGTTTTGGGGCTGTCGCTGGGCAACACGGACTTTCAACTCCCTCCAAAGATTTTCTATGGGGTTGAGATCTGGAGACTGGCTAGGCCACTCCAGGACCTTGAAATGCTTCTTACGAAGCCACTCCTTCGTTGCCCGGGCGGTGTGTTTGGGATCATTGTCATGCTGAAAGACCCAGCCACGTTTCATCTTCAATGCCCTTGCTGATGGAAGGAGGTTGTCACTCAAAATCTCACGATACATGGCCCCATTCATTCTTTCCTTTACACGGATCAGTCGTCCTGCTCCCTTTGCAGGAAAACAGCCCCAAAGCATGATGTGTCCACCCCCATGTTTCACAGTAGGTATGGTGGAGTTTGGAGTGTGACTGTTTGAGGTTGTGGACAGGTGTCTTTTATACTGATAACGAGTTCAAACAGGTGCCATTAATACAGTTAACGAGTGGAGGACAGAGGAGGCTCTTAAAGAAGAAGTTGCAGGTCTGTGAGAGCCAGAAATCTTGTTTGTTTGTAGGTGACCAAATACTTATTTTACCGAGGAATTTACCAATTAATTCATTAAAAATCCTACAATGTGATTTCCTGGATTCTTTCCCCCCATTCTGTCTCTCATAGTTGAAGTGTACCTAGGATGAAAATTACAGGCCTCTCTCATGTTTTTAAGTGGGAGAACTTGCACAATTGGTGGCTGACTAAATATTAGCCCCACTGTATATAAGATAAATATATAAAAAAATATAAATAACATCCGGTTTAAAAGAGAAAAACACAGATTATTATATATTGTTATATGTTGTTTCTTTGTTTACATAAGTAAACAAAGAAACCCCACACAGTGGAGTGCAGTTCAGGTCAGATTACTCACCTAAGAAGTGTTTCTCTAACAAGGCGATTTCCAGGTGACCTTTGACCTCGTTGAGATCCGTCCTGGAGTCGTCGTGGAGAGCAGCAGAGAACGATGCATGACTAGCCTGAGAGACAAACACACAGTTAAATACAGACACACATAACAAGCAGACGAGTTAGTTTACAGGTGGTATCTCTGGATCTAATCATAAAACTAAACTACTTCAGTATATAAGCTACAGTAAGTGAAACCGCGTCTAAATAAGTAGGTCACAAAAAGAAACATTTGAAGACACCTTGACTTGTACTTTTTGTTTAATGCTACCATATTCTTCCAATCCACTGTATTTTAGAGGTAAATATTACACTACATTTATCGATTTTACACATTTGCAGTCTTTTTGGTTGTTTATTTTCCTCCTGATTTCATTTCAATAACTGTAAGAGGCCCTAAAGAATTACTCATAGTACAAACAAGTTGCATGACTGGCCTGAGAGACAAACACACACACAGTCAAATAAAAATAAAACACACATGACAAAGCAACGAGTTAGTTGAGAGGTGGTATCTCTGGACATAATCATACAACTCAACTACTTGTATATAAGTGACATGATTATGTAAGTGAAGCCTGGTGTCTGAATACGTAGGACACAAAAAGAAACATTGTAAGACACCTTTACTTTTTATTGTATGCTACCATATACTTCCAGTCTGTCTGGTTTCAGACAGAGGGTGAAAAGAGGTGCTGCAGCAAAATAAAGAGCTTCATGAACATTAAAGCATGGAGAGACACTACATACTGATATACAGCTGAACATCAGCAGGAGAGGACTCTTTAATGTAGAGACACTACATACTGATATACACCTGAACATCAGCAGGAGAGGACTCTTTAAAGTAGAGACACTACATACTGATATACACCTGAACATCAGCAGGAGAGGACTCTTTAAAGTAGAGACACTACATACTGATATACACCTGAACATCAGCAGGAGAGGACTCTTTAAAGTAGAGACACTACATACTGATATAAACCTGAACATCAGCAGGAGATGACTCTTTAAAGTAGAGACACTACATACTGATATACACCTGAACATCAGCAGGAGAGGACTCTTTAAAGTAGAGACACTACATACTGATATAAACCTGAACATCAGCAGGAGAGGACTCTTTAAAGTAGAGACACTCCATACTGATATACACCTGAACATCAGCAGGAGAGGACTCTTTAAAGTAGAGACACTACATACTGATATACACCTGAACATCAGCAGGAGAGGACTATTTAAAGTAGAGACACTACATACTGATATACACCTGAACACCAGCAGGAGAGGACTCTTTAAAGTAGAGACACTACATACTGATATACACCTAAACATCAGCAGGAGAGGACTCTTTAAAGTAGAGACACTACATACTGATATACACCTGAACATCAGCAGGAGAGGACTCTTTAAAGTAGAGACACTCCATACTGATATACACCTGAACATCAGCAGGAGAGGACTCTTTAAAGTAGAGACACTACATACTGATATACACCTGAACATCAGCAGGAGAGGACTCTTTAAAGTAGAGACACTACATACTGATATACACCTGAACATCAGCAGGAGAGGACTCTTTAAAGTAGAGACACTACATACTGATATACAACTGAACATCAGCAGGAGAGGACTCTTTAAAGTAGAGACACCACATACTGATATACACCTGAACATCAGCAGGAGAGGACTCTTTAAAGTAGAGACACTACATACTGATATACACCTGAACATCAGCAGGAGAGGACTCTTTCAAGTAGAGACACTACATACTGATATACACCTGAACATCAGCAGGAGAGGACTCTTTCAAGTAGAGACACTACATACTGATATACATCTGAACATCAGCAGGAGAGGACTCTTTAAAGTAGAGACACTACATACTGATATACACCTGAACATCAGCAGGAGAGGACTCTTTAAAGTAGAGACACTACATACTGATATACACCTGAACATCAGCAGGAGAGGACTCTTTAAAGTAGACACACTACATACTGATATACACCTGAACATCAGCAGGAGAGGACTCTTTAAAGTAGAGACACTACATACTGATATACACCTGAACATCAGCAGGAGAGGACTCTTTAAAGTAGAGACACTACATACTGATATACACCTGAACATCAGCAGGAGAGGACTCTTTAAAGTAGAGACACTTCATACTGAAATACACCTGAACATCAGCAGGAGAGGACTCTTTAAGTAGAGACACTTCATACTGAAATACACCTGAACATCAGCAGGAGAGGACTCTTTAAAGTAGAGACACTACATACTGATATACACCTGAACATCAGCAGGAGAGGACTCTTTAAAGTAGAGACACTACATACTGATATACACCTGAACATCAGCAGGAGAGCACTCTTTAAAGTAGAGACACTACATACTGATATACACCTGAACATCAGCAGGAGAGGACTCTTTCAAGTAGAGACACTACATACTGATATACACCTGAACATCAGCAGGAGAGGACTCTTTAAAGTAGAGACACTACATACTGATATACACATGATGTCCTCTTTAAAGTCCAGGGTCAGATAAACATGTTTCTTTCTAAACTCCTGGTTGATATTGTGTGTGTTTGTGTACCTGAGCGTCACTCTGCTCCTCTGAATCTCTGGCGGAGACTCGAGGTCTGCTCACGACCTCCTCGTTGCTCTCTGTGTCGGAGGTGTTGGGAGAATCGGCCAGATCCGGGAACTCATCCCGTCTCTGGCCCCGGAAACGGATCCTTTCCAGATGTTTCCGCATGGTGGCCGCCGTTTAGCCGGTCGTTCTCTACCTGAACATGACTGCCGGCAGCACTGCAGAGACTGAAGGAGGACAGGAACACATCATTATTATTATTATATTTAAGTTCTTAGGATACATTTTGATATATTGCAACATAAATATACATTTGATTAACTACATATCAAATGTATGCGAGTCAACAATCACGTGACCCATTTTCAAACCGTCTGTTCAGGGAGGAGGAAGTGTTTCACCAGCTTCTCTTAAACAGGGACCATAGCACAGTGTTGTGAAATATAGCTATGAATCTCCAGATGTGTAAAGAGATGTTCTTTATGTATTGAGAACATACTCCTACTTATGCTCAATACACTATTTGAAAAGCCTCTTGGATCAGCTGTAAAATGCATCGTCACAAAGTTAAATAAAGCCTCAACAGTTCTTCCTCCACTTCCTCTTGGCAAACTGCCACTGACAGGTTGAACCACACTGTAAGAGAAGAGTTTCAATTTCCCAGAAATGAAAGTTGTTGTTTTTCTGAGCGACAGCAGAGCAGCAGCCGAGACACGTCTCTGTTTCTCTGAAGAAACACTCAACTGAATCCAGCAGCTTCTTCTCAACAACACAGCAGGACTCTGCAAACACTGGTGAGTTCACTACAGACACATCACTTACTAAACATTTAGTCAAAGTTGGATTAAAATCTGATTCTGACTGTAATACATCCATTTGACCATATAAAGAATATTACACAATATAAATGTGTCAGTTACGATAAAAACCTCAACATTTACATTAGCAACAGCCACAAAACAACTGCAATGTAAACTCTGATTACGTTAGGTTAGAGAGCATACAGCCAAAGCTAGCATTAGTTTATACTTATTATGATATTTCCTGTATTTGAAAACATCTTTATAATTGACTTTATTAAACAAAGTAGAATCTAAATAGTAGATTTGTTCTGGACTGTCCAAAGCAAGGGATCTGGTGTTATGTTACAAGTGTTGCTCATAAAAAGGCATGACAATTACATATTTCATCTTATATCATTTGTACACACTGAGGTAAGTAGCCTTGAGCTTTGAACCTGTTTCTGTAGTAACTGCTGTCTGCCTTTTGAAGCTGATAACATTTAGTGTTTTTTAACAACTAGTATTAACTTCAGTGATGCTCAGCAGGAGGTTTCACTTCTCTGTTCAACAACGGCAAAATGCCCCAACAGTATTAGAGCGTACACATTGTGTTTCTTAGAGTTTAAACCGAATGCTGCTATGATTTTCCAGATTTCATTTGAACTTAAATTGTAATTCTTACAGACAAAAAACGTAAATGTTGTTGGTTGTTTTGGTCTATGTATGTCATTTCTAACATAAAACGTTGGGGTAGTATACATTTTCGGGTTCGTAGTAGACTCTATGAACTGGCAAATAGAGAATATGTAATTAGAGTTGTGTTTTTTTCAAACCCTTGTCCCCAGAGAGACATGTCTGCTGCCAGCTGTCTGCTGACTGAAGATCAGTTTCTGTGCTCCATCTGTCTGGATGTGTTCACTGATCCAGTCAGCACACCATGTGGACACAACTTCTGTAAAGCCTGCATCTCTGAACACTGGGATACTAAAGTCCCCTATCAGTGTCCTAACTGTAAAAAGTTATTCCACACAAGGCCTGAAATGCTGGTCAACACTTTCATCTCTGAGATGGCTGCTCAGTTCAGACAGTCAGCTCAACAGAAAGCCAGCAGCAGCAGCTCAGAGCAACAAGTTGTCAAACCAGGAGAAGTTCCCTGTGACGTCTGCACTGGAACCAGACTGAAGGCCCTGAAGTCCTGCCTGGTGTGTCTGGAGTCCTACTGTGAGACTCACCTGGAGCCTCACCTGACAAGAGCAGGCCTGAAGAAACATCAGCTGATCGACCCTGAGGAGAACCTGGAAAGCAGGATGTGTGTGAAGCACGATAAACTGCTGGAGCTGTTCTGTCAGACCGACCAGGTGTGTGTCTGCATCCACTGCACCTATTCAGAGCACAAGACACATGATGTTGTTCCTCTGAAAGAAGGATATGAAGGAAAAAAGGCTGAGCTGGGGAAGACAGAGGCTGAAATTCAGCAGATGATCCAGAAGAGACGACTGAAGATCCAGGAGATGAATCGCTCAGTGGAGCTCAGTAAGGAAGGAGCAGACAGAGAGGTAGCAGATGGTGTTCAGGTCTTCACCGCTCTGAAGGAGTCTGTTGAGAGAAGCCAGGCCGAGCTCATCGACACCATCAAAGAGAAGCAGAGAGAGACAGAGGAACAGGCTGAAGGCTTCATCAAAGAGCTGGAACAGGAAATCTCTGAGCTGAAGAAGAGAAGCTCTGAGGTGGAGCAGCTCTCACGCTCTGAAGACCAGCTCCACCTCCTCCAAAGCTTCACGTCCCTGAACGCTGCTCCACCCACCAAGAACTGGACAGAAGTCAGGGTCTGTCCACCTTCATATGAGGGGACTGTGAGGAGAGCTGTGACTCAGCTGGAGGAGACGCTCAGGAAACAGATGAAGAAGCTGCTCTCTGAGGTGGAGCTGAAGAGGGTCCAGCAGTCTGAGGTGGAGGTGACTCTTGATCCTGATACAGCAAGTCCTGACCTCATCCTGTCTGTTGATGGAAAACAAGTTAAAGATGGTGATGTGTGGAAGAATCTCCCAAACAATCCAGAGAGATTTGATTTGTGTCCTTGTGTCTTAGCAAAGCAGAGTTTCTCTTCAGGAAGATTTTATTACGAGGTTCAGGTTAAAGGGAAGACTGACTGGACTCTAGGAGTGGCCAGAGAGTCGATCAACAGGAAGGGGAAGATCACACTGTCTCCTCAGAAAGGTTACTGGACGATAGTGTTGAGGAATGGAAATCAGTACTCAGCTCGTGCTGGTCCTTCAGTCTGTCTCTCTCTGAAGTCTCAGCCTGAGAAGGTGGGGGTGTTTGTGGATTATGAGGAGGGTCTGGTCTCCTTTTATGATGTTGATGCTGCAGCTCTGATCTACTCCTTCACTGGCTGCTGCTTCAAAGAGAAACTCTACCCATACTTTGGTCCCTATCTTAATCATGGTGGTAAAAACTCTGCCCCTCTGATCATCTCTCCTGTCAATCACACTGAGTAGAACAACCATTTGATTTACTACAGAAAGATTCACTCTCACTAAATGTAATACATATATTCAACTGGGGAAGTACATTGTACACATTGTAAATGGTTCAGAATCTGATCACATATGGTTCACCTTGATGAGACGCATAACAACACATACAATACTGATGAGTATGTTCTAATGTAGTCTAGTTTATTCTACGGATTGCACTTCCTGCCGTCATGACTTGAAGTGATCAGAAAACTATTTACTCAGAAATAAACTTTTACCACTTCTTTATATGTCAGGGGGACAAGAAAAGTATTTATTGTCTCAGAATTGTGTTTTCAAAAAGTGTTTCATACTTGCAGACATTACTAGTGGAAATAATGCACTTGTTTTTTAATCATTTTAAAAGGAAAAAATGATGGGTATATTTTAAAGGGGTCGATTCAGGATTCATGCTTTAATTACAATATATTGGTAAAAAAATGATAAACAGTTACTTTGAAAATCAACAATACCTGATCATTAAACATTAGGCTGCAGTGGTTTAACAAATGAGGGACATTTAAATGTTACATCTCAGCTGTCTGTTGTGTTAAGTTAATTGTATTGCGTCCACCTCTCTGCACTCTGCTTGTAAAGTTTGAACAAAGCCTCAATGGATTAAAAAAAAGGAACAAAGAATGTTATTTTTTGTGTTTTTTTTAAATGTACTAACTGAAGTACAGTTTTCACTAGTTCTCAATTTAGGGAAAGTAGCTTAAAAAATGTACTTAACTATTTCCATTTCTACTTAACTACATGTGTCTGATATATTTGGTTCTTCTGAAGCTTTATAAACTATTAAAACCCTCTTGGATCAGCTGATGATAGATATTAAAATTGCTGTATATGTTTGTTAGAAATAAGGCCATCAACTGGTTAGCTTAGCTTAGCATAAAGACTGGAAACAGGGGAAGACAAAGCCAGCCCGTCCAAAGGTAACAAAATCCACCTATCAGCAGCTCTGAATCCAGTTTGTTTAATCCATACCAAATCAGAGGAGTAAAAACATCAATACGACGTTTAACAGGGGATTATGGGTCGGGCTATTTCTTGACTGGGACCAAAACAAGTTGCCAAATAGTTTTTACATTTAAGTTTTCGTACAGAGATATATTAAGTACACTTAAATGTGTATTTTTTCACTCACTATTTCCCCCTTTTCATAGTATATATGCTAAATGAAGCTAATCTAAGTGTCTGATGGCTGCAGCCTGTGTCAGTGAGAGCGGTCTGACTGGTTGGACTGCTTCTAATGATTATGATCTCATTCTTCACCTTGAACACACTCCAGCACTGCCTGTACAGGTGAGACTAACTGACTGCAAACGTCCCGTCTGACTGGGAGATAAATAAAGGTTTTTTTAAATATCAAAATTGCATGAAATATGCTTATAAAGTCTATTTGATTAATGCCCTGTTTATAAGATGGAGCTTATCATTTGAAATGTCATTATTTGTAAAGAGGTGGATGGTGAATAATATTACAATTAAAAATGTTTCACTCACATCATGACTTTGTTTTTATTACAGTACACGTTTTCTGAAATGTTATCTTTAATATACTAACGCATACAGAAACAGCACAGAAATGTGTACACTGGTTAAAACCAGTGTTACGTTCCCTCTTGGCTAGGGGTAAAAAGGTGAAACGACACGACCAGTTTGTAACTGGTATTGGTTACCGGTGGGTTTATTTATGACTGCAAGTAAGTAAAATGATGTACACAAACAGCTTGGCCCAACAACGGGTCAAGCTGTCCCTATCCAACAAAAGGGGTCTCCAAAAGAGAGTTGCCCCGCTATACAAAAGGAAAGAAAATCTCACTTCTAAAGTGGAAACAAAACAATAACAAAACGGGACTGTGTGGAAACACAGCTGTTGCTGATCAACCGGTGCTAATCACCGGGGTCTAAGCAATATACA